TTTATTTATTTAATTATTATTTATTTCACAGTCCCTCTATACCCGGTCTTAAACGCTTCGCAGACTATTGTCCCAGGGCTGGTTACAGGGCTTGGATAATAAGCCACAAAACTGAGCGTACACTAACTTTAGCACTGCGATCACAAATTTCAAACTGAACAGAACATGCATGTATTACCGTGATTTGTCAAAATATGAACTTCTGAGAAAAAAACTAACCACATCACCAAAAGGTTAATGTACAAATCTATTCACATTGAAAAAAAATATTATGGTTAAACGTAGTTTTCATACTATAAAATGGGCTAATCCCGCTGACTCGTGTTGAGTAAGTTAGTAAATCAAAAAGAAAATGGCGTTCGTAAATAAATTCTCATCGGGGCGAAAAAAAAGGGCTGCCTACTCAATTTCTGGCAGTGCTAAAGAATTGATACTGCAGGATCTTATTCTTAGAGACACGATGTCACCAGCATTGTAAACTACATCCCAAATATATGTTTGTAAACAAAAATAATGACATGAAAATTCAAATGACAATGAATCGGCAAGGAGCAATCTTTATTTTGAACAGAAAAAGTGATGCGTAAATATGATACGTATACTGTATATAATATAATAAAACAAGCACAATGAACCGATCCACCAACTACAACTGGGTTCAAGCTATTCAATAAACGAAAAAAACATTGATCTTTCTAAAACACATGACGAATAGAAGGGCCCAACCGGTCAAGGTTGTTAGAAGTGTTCCAAGTTGCGATCCCTGACTGAGTCCCTCAAATTTAAGTGCGATATTCACGAATAATAATGTCAATATGCCACTATAGAATAACTTGCAGGCTAAAGAATTGTGTTGAGCTTCTAAATATATATTAAGTATCAAAATATATGTTTTTTTCGGTTGTAAAAACTAGAACATGTAGGGAACAATGAATCGTTCGTTTCAATAGAATGCTCTGATATCAAGATACTATGCTTCGCGGAAAGCCATACCCAGCGCAGTCTGAGCACATCGGGTAATTCACACCTTAGACAATAGCTGTTTCCTGACCAGGGATAGAGGTTTATTTGCTGGTAGTTTTTTAAGAGTTTTGGTAATCTCAAAAACTCGCAAGGAATCTGACCTAATGGCCATTCATGTATAAATTCCTGTTCAAATCTTGTACAAGCTACAGCCAAGCACAGCTACTTTTTTATATTGAACAATGGCGTACTCACTGGTGAAACTAATTAATAAACATTACAATGTTCAAGAAAAAAGATTGTGTTCGTGGCATGGGTTTCACTTGAAGACGATCATCTCAATGAAAAGTTGGCCAGAGAAAATGCCCGGAAAAGGTGGTTGGATACTAGGGTCAATTTTACAATTGCCTTAAAGACTAAAATTCATATTCTGTTGTCTATTCGCTACAGCTGCCAGATCGTTATTCACTACTGAAACGGACAATTTATTTATTTTATTAATTTTTACTGATGTGTTCTTCATCGTATTTTCTTGCACAAAAGTTGCACAAAACAGACATGACATGTACACTGCCTTCTAGACTGTCATTGCTCTGGGGATCTAAATTGGGAAATATGTGGGGGGGGGGAGCTGCTACGAACACAAAAACATAACTGCAATTTTTTAATTTGTTTGATACAAAAATTTAGTCCTCGTTCGAATGCCATTAGAAAACAGGGTCTTGTGGATTGACCTCTGTTCGTGCGTGTGTGTGTCCATAACTATATCTTGGACATGCCTGGACCGATTAAATTCAAACATCATTTTTTTGTTCAGATCAGATTCAAAATGACCTACTGCTGGCAATTTTGTTTTAATGAATCCGGTTGTGGAGCCACATCGCTGACATGCTTTGACTGATTATGTTCAAATTTTACATATTTATTATACATGTAGCCCCTGTTACATCATGCCATAGATACATGTATACAATAATAATAATTAATAAATTCTGTTCCACAGCAATATCTCTCAATATGGACAAGTACTCGTTTGACGATCAGATACAAGATGACTGTCAATCATTTTAATGTTAAAACAAATCATTATAATCAATCATTATAATGTTTCAAAATTTTCACGCTACCATCATGTCGAAAAATATTAGTCTTCCTATACATATTTTGCCCACCAATTCATGTATACTCAGTAAATTAACTTGCATAAACCATTGATGGAAAATTATATTTTTTATTTACAAAAGTGATTCCAAGGCATTTTACAATAATCTATGTCATTATATTGAATATTTTTTTTCATTTTCAACAAATGTGTACACTTCCTCCTGCATCTTTGCCAGCCAAGGTTCATTTATTCAGTCATCGCTTCAACTTTACACCAAACACTGAGCATAATTAACGAGAATGTAATAAAAAAATGAGTAAATCAAAATAATCAGAACACTGTAAACAGCTATAGTAAGCAATACAACAATTAAATCCCAAACTGATTTGACCCCAACCGATTTAAGTTGTATAACGATCCAATCATCAACAAAACCCATCTCCAGGGCAAGCAACTGCAAAAAGTAACCAGTGTTCGGTCAAACCAGTGTAAACAAATTGTCACTCCTGGAATTATCATAGAAACCATTTAAGCCACAATATAATCATAAAAAACATAGATGATGATGTTTGTTGCATTTAACAATGATAAATCTGTATACCTGAGTGGAAGCAGAAACATTTCACATGAAAACATATTATATCGAATTTAGTATATCTAAAACTGTTTAACGTTAAAATGCGAATACCGTACCATTTTAAAAAAGGCTGGTGACCTGCAATTGTTATTGTTATTGATATCGGAGCAGCTATCTATCACAACAAATTCAAACACTTATTTTTTCTTCACTGATATCCACAATATTTTTATGTTTTGTAAAACTTGTAAGAGAAGTAATTAAAAGTATCATAAATTCAATAAAGAATAAAATAAATATTGTGATGATGTTAATTATAAATCAAAACTATTCAGACTAAAGCTGAGTCCTTACTAACATTGTGTAAACTTTTCATGGCTATTCATTGAATACGTTTATCTGTGGAATTACTTCGGACAGCAATTCTCTATATTCAAGCTTCTAACACATTCATTTATTGAGAAAATACAAATATGATCACGTATTTGTGTGATATTCGTACTGAATCTAAACTAATGGTTTTCCATTCATGATTTCTTTTTTGAGTTTCGCCTGGCACAGATTTTTATGAAATTTTGCCATATTGTTATATTGTTGTTAAATCTATGAGCAATATTCTTAGATCAATAAGTGCCTATAATCCTTGAGATGGAATGGCACATAGAAAATAATATATACATGTAGAAATAGTAGGTATATTGGACGAGAACTATGCTTATTGACTACCATCTCAAACAGTTCTGAATATCTGTACTTTTCCTTTCAGTGTGAGATTTCTCACAACAGATGTTAAAGAAAATGTGAGTGAAAATAAAGACTCTATGAAAGATGAAGTCAGTCAAGCAGAAAAACAACTACAAGAAGAAAAGTCAAAGTTACAAAAACAGTTAGATGAGTTGACAGTAAGTATTTTAACAAGAGGTATAATAATGTATTCATTTAATATAAAATAAATGATGCGATTCTGGTAACCCTAGATTTTACATGCAAACCATGGCCATTAAGATGAACTGTACTGTCTGAGTGAATACTTTGCGGTATCCTTGTGATGACCTTTTGATGGTACGGGCAAGGTATATTGTTGTCGTCGTTAATAATTGTTATTGTGTGCATAATAACTTTACTAATTCTATTCCAAACTTTATCAAACTTGGTCACCTTATTCATCAGTATAAAGTCTTCCCTGAG